TAACTTTCTACACTTTCTACCTTAACCATTAAAGAAATTTCTCCAAGCAACTGCTGTAAATTTTAAATAATAGATATTAAAGGAATAAAAACTAATAAAAATTCGACATTGTTATAAGCAGAACTGCATATAATTTTAATCAAATTATTTACTATTTTAATATAAAACGAATGACAAAAAATGTAAACCAAAGTTTAAAATAAGAAAATGTCTTTTTCAACAGCTATTAAGACAATATATAAATTTATACAGCAAGTGTAAATTATATCACGAATTAATGACAGAAAGGCCTACGGAATCAGTTTTTAATCATACAAAAATTACACCACAAAAGGAGAGAAATAACATAAATTGCGGATATATATTCATTTATTTAAAGAGACATTTTTCTTTGACAGTCAACACGTTTAATTTGAGACTTTCCGAAGTTGGTATTATTACAAATTGTGGTCTCACTTTTTTTTTAGACCAGAGAGATTTTATGTTGCATGTCGATATTAGATTTCGGATTAATTACAATAAAATGTACGAAATAATTCTTTCCGAATAAATCATATTAAGGAAAAGAGTAGAACGCGTTTTACCGAAAGATATAAAAAAATTGAGAAAAAATTCAAACGTTAAGTAATATCTGAAATTATACTTTCAACGCAGGGACTCTAACAAATCTCGTGACACGAGGGATTCGGAACTTTTATTACGACATTATAAATGCACGAAAACATCTTAAAAATATGCATATATGTGTAAATACGTATATTATATATGTATATGGGTGTAATCAAGAGAACGATTTTAGATTTTATTACAGTATGGTAGAATGAAGTAGAGAGTGCTACGCGCGATCGGAATTATCCTTGTGTACATTCTATATCTCTGACTACTTTCTAACTTTTTTCTTATATATTTTTTTGTTCTTTTTTTCTCTTTATTATTTGCTATCTCTCTCTCTTTAACTTAAGTGCTAAGTGTAATGCGCTAGTCAACTGCTCGATTACATTCCGCGATTACGCGCGTAGTACGCACGCATCTGCAGCTTTATTAATTAAATTATAATATGTATTAGTTAATTACAGATCGGATATGCTTTTCAAGAGCTTCTTCGAATCTCTACGGAAAAAGTAAATATATAAGTTACAAGGACGAGACATTAGCTAACGAAATAAATTCTTATTATTATAACAAAGTGTAATCGCGATTTTAGCCGCAAATACATTTTTGTATTGAAATAACTTGAATTTTATAAATAATAATTTTTTTTTATCACCGCAAATGCGTTACGTGTATCTCGTTGCAGTACATAATTCTGAAAGAGAAATATTTTGCTTTCAACAAATATCATTTTTCTTCGTAGGTAAAACAATTCATTATTTCATCATGCACAACAAAATTATTAATGTGCAACAAGTAAATAACGTTGATATTAGAGATCTTCATTTAATTTCTGATTTTTTCCGCTGTTAACGGACCTTTGATTCTCATTTATAAAATAATTCGACAGGATTTTTCCGGATTTTCCCATTCAAAATCGCGACGGACAAACGCGCGTATTCGCTGCATCGATTCCTTCGAAATCTCATATTAATAAAAACGTACTCTATCCCTTACCTGCTGTAAGATCAAAAAGGATAACACTTAGAATGAGAGATCAAGAAAGAGAGACAGAAAAAATAATGGTTCGAAGGAAGAGTGAATGAAAAGAAGGGAAAGAGATAGACAGAGATCAACAATATAGAGACACGAAGACTAATACCGCGTATCACATCTCTATTAAGAAAAAAAGTCACAGCACAATTATTACAAAATTACTGTCACTTTCTCATTGAAGATTTCATCACTTTATCGTCAAACTAATCATTGTTTGATTGATTATACAGAAACGGGAATAAATACGAACGCATTATCTTTTCTATAATCAAATTTGAATATATAAGAAATTTTTTATGTTTACATAAAAATAAAGAAATATGGAGTGCATATCTTATTATGGATTCGCATTTGATTATGAAAGAAAAATTGCATTTATGACAATAAAATGAAGATAAAAATAGTACTCGTTCCAGTTTAATTCTATAAATGTACAAAAATTATTTCTCAAATAATACTCTATTTTGAATTAAATATTAATAGGAGATAATCCATTTTTTCAAATCTTATTAATGACAATATTTTTGCCAATTGGATATAAATTTATTATTATTGAAATGAAAATATTCTCCGTACCAAACTAATTAAGATAAAAAAATCCTTCTTGCAAAATCATACTTATTCGAATTTACGGTCTAATAACACACTATCATTCTCTCTTTCTCTTTCTCTCTCGTAGATATATGCATCAGCGACTGCGACTGATCAGCTATTCTTATCGGTGCCTTCTTACAATGTCTGGACCAGACTAAAAGCACTACAAGAAGGTGCCATAATTGTGGCAATGAGAGATTCATTAGACAGACGCACGTAGAAAGGGGAAGGAAGCAACAGCCTCCTTCTCACGAATGTCAATTTCTTTTTTTTTTTAGTACAAAAATAGATTTCGGGCACAGATCGCGCAGCCCCGTGCAGGAATATTTCAGGTGTGCATTTTAGCAAAACAATGAATTTAATATCGTTATACCTGTCGCAAAAAAAAAAACGATGTCAGGTGGCTGTGGACATGGAATTGGTATATTTCTCACCTTGACGGATGCAGAACTTTTTTATTATTACGTTTCTCAAAGTTGTTATAATATCGTGTGGGTAAGCGAAAAATTGCATTATCGTAACATCCGAGGACGTGAACGAATGCGGCGAACGCAGGATGTGCAGAGAGCTAGTATGTCAACTACCACATTGACTTACAGTAATATAATCGTATATAATGTAACAATGCAAATTATAATTAACAACGTATAATTACATACTATGAAAGAACGATGAAGTTTCGGTTTCAACTGGCAAAAATTTGTCTCGAAATTATCCGTCGGACAGCGCGACGCGAAGAATGAGAACATAATTTTCGCGGCGAGACTGCGCGAAGTCGCCCGATCGAAGAACAAGAGTCGCCCGTAGAAAAAAAGGGGCGGAGAACTACATTAAATCTTTTATCATCTCGCAACATGCTCAATAATAACCGATAGTCTCAAGTTGTAAAGAAGAACGCGAACTCGTATCCTCTTACTGCGACGGGGGCGGCTTTAACGGCGCCCACAAAAGCATATCCTCACCGCAACAAATTACGATATGTTTTCCAATTTAAAGTACGGGAAAAAGAATTTTATTAATCGGCAAACGCGATTCCTCTTCATTAAGAATATTGCGTGACGGGTAAGTCCCGTCGGAATTAAATTATGAAGTTTAATCGAGACGATCTGGGAAATTCATTGTTTACGTAAGGAGACGAACAATGGGACGAGGAAGAGGATACGAGCTCGTCCTTGAATATTTATTTTTATACGTACATATATCACGTAACTCAACGAGCGATTGCGACTGTCTTTCTTTGCGATCGACGATACGCGTTGTGAGAACTTATTATAGAGATTAAAGAACATACGATCATATTTCATCGCTAAAGATCCTCGAAGTGCAGGAAAATTTTGTCATTCTTTCGCCTTGGCACTCTTATAATTCGTCGTAGTCGCATCAATTGCAACTGCGTCGTACGAATAAATCGAAAGAGTCGCTCGTCGAGTTGCCAATATCGGGTGTATAAAACGAAGAGAAAGCTCGTGTCGAGCTCGTCGACTACGTCTACGTTAATTATGATTAATCGATTCGCGCATTAATCGATAATGATTATTAATCATACTATTGATCGTCGCTTTGCTTGCTACGATCGTCGAAACAAAAAGGAATACAGGATCGAGGAGAAAAAAAATGCATGAGTATCTTCTGTTTTTACATTACTCGCTTGTACTAATTGTAAGTCTCTCTAAGCTCCCTCCCCGATGATCGTGCTCTGCTCGACGAGATGAACCGGGAGGTCTCAATGAGAGAAGGCGCATCCGAGTAAATTACAAAGATGCGCGAGGAAAGCGCTAAATGGATCAAGGCGCTGTCCTTGATCCTTTCGATTGTCAGACAATGCAAAATTAATCATTGGCGCACAAACGTTTTCTTCTACGTATTAAAAATTCGCCTCGAGAAAAAGGATTTCAGAATAATAATAATTTACGTCACGTAAAACGATAAAATCCGTTCAAGCATACGGCAAGAAACTTTATGTAATTGTAGAGAGTTACAAGTTAATCGCATAGCATTCCTAACGTTATTTCATCTCGCGTAAAACGTTATTATGTCGAATAACATTGCATGACGCATTACATCAGCGAGGAGTGCGTAAAACTTTTACACGCCAGCGGTCATGCTGGTGCTCATATATTGTCGATCCTCCCCGCATAAACGTGAAACTATTGTATTATACGATTCCGTTTCTGTATTATTCGACGCGGCGATCGCTTCGCTTATTATCGGCATTGGGCCACGATCGACTCAGCGCACCCTCGGCTCGCATCGAAAAACGTTCCGTCATTACTTACTGACACAATGTATATATATACGAGTTTATCGAGCATGATACCTGTAATAGCATCCGCGCTCCCATCGAAGAACGGAGAGAAAAAACTAGAAAAGACTTCAGACTCGTGCTTCAGCAATGAATAAGGGAGAAAGGAAAAAGAGAAAAGCCGTACGTGGCTTGTGTGTACGTGAGTATACGTGTATATGTGTGAATGTATTTTTATACGTTTACATTTGGGTACGTGTATGTGTTTGTGTGTGTGTGTGTGTCAATATGAGAGTTGACCTCGACGTAGCACTAATAAATTCTTTACCCGTCGTGAGTCCGGAGAATCTATCTAAGGACCCAGCTCTAAAGATCCGCTACTTAAGAAGATTAAACCGACGAGAAGTGCAACATTAACGAAATATCGATAGAAATTTATAATGTATAATATATATTATTTATATATAATATATATATTTATATGTAATATATACCATAAATGACTTTTGTATATATATATATATATTATGTATATGTATATATAATCATATATATTCATCCATTCGTCTAATATATATATTATATATACTCTGGAAGGCGACAGTAGAGAGACTACTGAAGTAAATGCATAATAATATACGCAAAAAACGAAGACATCGATTTTGAAATTTCTCTCTTGCCAGTCGTATCACTCTTCTTTTTATTTTATTTTTGCGGGGACCGTATTTCTTCCCCACGCGCATTTCTCCGTTCGTCGGCTTCGTCTTTTCCTTGCGATAGCTTTTCAGATTCATTCGATAAATCAGCATCTATACCGCGTTTCTTTTTCTTTTTTATATCCTTTACAGCGCAAATAATGCAACATACGATCAGCAACCTTAGAAATACATCGAAGAATCTCGCGTAAAATCCTAGTGAGATCCAAAAATGATAGCGTCCCAGGTTCTCGCTCGTTTCTGTCATGAGAATATAGCAAGATTCCAAGATAAGGAGATAGAGCGAAAGAGAGAGAGAGAGAAAGAAATTGATAGAGAGCGAAAGAGAAAGGATGAAAGAGAGAAAAAGAGAGAGAGCCCTGAGTGATAACAAGGAAGATGAATGACGAGGAATGAAGTGAAGAATGGGTACAAGTCTAAGAAAAAATAAATATTCGCTTAAACATGTTGCACGAACTCCGGATTGAGATACGAGAAACCCATAAATTCCGTCTGGTCCAAATTCATCATGAACAGCTTATCCGTGGGGGTCAGATCTGTCTTCTCCGAGGTGAATTGCTTGTCGAAATTACTCACATCCTTACGATGTTGCTGCACAAACAAGAATAAGTCGTTTTAGATATTTTTTTCAAAAATATCTGCTACAAAAATACTTACAATTTTTGGCTTAAAAGGTGGCTGCACCTCGCGGTTCTCTATCTTCTCCCAATCAATGCGCCGGAAAAATGCGTGGCTTCGCACATCGTCCTCGCCGCGCATTCCGCATCCCAGTCTCTTGCTCGGATTCTTCGTGAGAAACTGCGACAAACGAATTTTTGTGCGTAAGCTAAAAATTTCTAATCAGCTGGACGTATTATACACATATTCGCACATTTGAATAGGCTACACTTTTGTTGAACATTTTTATTATTAGTTTTTAGGACTACACTGCAAATCCTTTAGCTGAAGCTCTTCTTACACATTTCTTGCCGTTTTAAATCACATTATTTAACACGATTGAACGTATTAACTTTTAATTTAATACGATTAAACGTGTAAATGATAATAACACATAATTTAACACACATGAGAAAAACATGTAAAAAGAATTTCAGTCAAGTGTGTCATTTTTATGCGTGTAAAAATAACACTTGAATTCGCAGTGTATTTACAAATCTATAGAGTTTACATTATAATCTTAACAGAAACTGTCACTTAATTATTCAACATTAAAATTCAAGAAATTGCGCCAATTTCTTCCGACATTTCTACTGAAAAAAAATCCTGAACTTTTTCTTATAAAGTTCTTTATAATGTATTTAAATAAATCTCTCGAGACTCCGTATAAGCGTCTAAACTCATTTAAATTCCAGAAAGCTCTAGAGATAATACGGGCATATAGAAGACACGCATACCGCTTTACAAACTTCTTTGGCTTCTTTAGACAGACTCTTCGGGTAACTGACATTGTGGTCCGTGATCGCGGAAAAAAGTTCATCCTCATCTTCGCCGTCGAACGGTGGCTGACCCACTAACATCTCGTAGAGTAAAACACCGTAAGCCCACCAGTCCACGGATTTCCCGTAAGGTTGATATAGGATGATCTGCGCAGAAATGAGAAACTCCGACAAGTAAAACAACACCAAAGTTCCACTTATTGGATATCCAAAAATATACAACGCATTTCTTGCGATATTTAAGTCGACCTTTTGCAGCCCAAATTTCGTGTTAATATAACATGCATTTTTCAAAAATAAATTGCTCCTCGCAAATTAAACTTCATCTATCGTTCAATTTAAAGTTGATTGTATCTCAGCAAAAAACTTTAATTTGAAGCTTAATTAGCGGGAAACAGAATGTCGATATTAGAACAGTTGTGAGAAAAGATAATTTTCCCGTACATTTCTGTCAAGGAAAGATCGATTTAAAATTTCATAAAGAATGGCAGTACATTCCATCACTCACGCGTCAATATTCTGCAACATCTTGGTCATACAAGTTTTGTTTAAACATTTACCTCGGGCGCGATGTAATCGGGCGTGCCGCAGAAGGTTTTGGTAGTCTTGTCGCCGGTAATGCCCTCCTTGCACATGCCGAAGTCCGCGATTTTTATGTGACCGTCCTGGTCCAGCAAGACATTGTCCAGTTTGAGATCGCGGTAGACGATGCCGCGCAAATGCAGGAAGAACAAGCCGATTGCTATTTCAGACGAGTAGAATCTGTAAACGAGGCGAGCGGCGCGTGAAGCACAAGGCCAACGTATACTCGTCGTCGAGATCGATTCCAAGAATGAGATTTACGTTGAAACTGCGCGGAACGCCGTGAATGCGGAATAAAATAATGAAACCGGCGGCATTACGGACACGGTTAACGAGTAAAAATTAAGGTCACGACGACGATGGCGATAACGACAAAGCGAAGCCAGGCGGCGGCGCGTACGTCCGCCGTCGACGAGACACATCTCCCGGGTGTACAATCGGTTTTCATTTCGTATTCGGAACGTGTTGAGAAAGTTCGACAACGTGAATCGCTCGAGAGTTCCCGTCCACGGCGTTCCCACGTCGTCGTCGTCGCCTCTCACGGCGCTTTAATAGAGTTAAGGATATCGATCCGCAAGTTAAAGCAGAGCACGTTCATGAACACTAAAATACTCACACTGCCACCGGCTCTTTAAATTTGCCACACTGCTGTATTTGGTACATCAGATCGCCGCCGTTCACGTATTCCATCACGAAGTACAGGCGATCCTGAAGCGGAAAGCAGAAAGCGGATCTTTGTAAGCCGTGTAAGCAAGTGTCTCGGTTAATCTTTCATTGCGTTTCGCATCGTTCGTATACGAGAGAGCTTGTATACTCTTTGCTCGACGCTCCTCATTGCGGAAATTTTAATAGGAAACTTAACCAGAGCGGATTAATTCATTTTGATAACGTTTGAATCAAACTTTGAAAAGATAAATGAATGAAAGTTTTATTTTTTTAGCAATTTAAAATGGATTATGGTTTATAGTAGAATTCTCGTAATTTTTTTAAGCTAAATATATTCAAGGTATTTAATATCTCTTTTAAAAATTACACTATATACAAAGATTTCAGGTATAAATAGAAATAAACACGGTCATACAATTTGTAATTATTTAATTAAATGTGTAATTCTCTCAAAGCCGTATTCAATCATAATCGTAAATAAAGAATGTATGTAATTCGAACGAGCAAAGAAAGTATTGTATGTACCATCGTTTGAAAACAAGAATGCAATTGCACCAGGAAGGGCGGCTTGTTCGAAAGCGCGAGTACACGTTTCTCAACCATCGTGCATTCCACATCGTCGTCCTGGATAATGATGTCCTTCTTTAAGATTTTGATGGCGTACAGTTCATCCGTGCCTTTTCTTTCCGCCAGCAAGACCTTGAATTGAATTCATTGATTCCATTGAGAGATGCGATTGCGGCCGATCGCGAGGTAAAGTAACCGTTTTTCAAGATTGTTAAAACTTACCTTGCCAAAGCTGCCTTTGCCAAGTACCATTAAGAAATTGAAGTCGCTAGCTCGTATCAGATCGCTCTTGCCCATGTTGTGCGGCACATCCTTGTCCTGGGTCGTGTGTGTCTTTTTCGTCACCGAAGTTTTCTGAATATAGTCAACGAAAGTATAAATCATGCCGGGACTGGATAATCGTCATTTAAAATACAAAATAAAAAGTAACATTTCAGATGAATTTTTAATATCATTTCAAATATTATGTAAAATCACCTCGTTATCTTTATCGAAAAGCTATATCAGCCATTTTAAACTAATTATTTTAAAATAACTTTTTATTTTAACTTAGCTTTAACTTATTTTGTATTTTAAAAATAAATCACGAGTCGCTAAATTGCCCAGTAAGTAAATACCCGCATTTTAGTTTTGAGCTCGGCGAGGTCGACGCCTTCTTCAGGAACAGGTACATTGTAGAACTCTCCTTCCTCTTGAGTGAGAAGCTTGAACCACCCACTTGCAGGCGCTTTAATAAGCTCCGATATGCCAAAGGATAGGGATCCCATAAAATCGTTTCTGGATGTTCGATCCCAGTCCCATACCTCGATCAACAGCCGCCTGTCTTTATCCTCGGGTTTGAGGTCGCTAATGGTAAAAGCCAGATTGCTTAAGCGCTGCTTTTATCTTACGGAGGTAGTAATCCTTGCAATCTCCCCTAACTCAATCTCAAGATGTGACTTTCCTATACTTCGATGATCTTGTAATTTGTCATAAAGTAGAGAGCTTGACATATAATTATTTATGAGTTATATTTGAAGAATTACTAATCTATTGTGTAATTCATCAACGTCGATAAAATAGAATAACTTGGTAAGATTTAAGAGAAATTACGCACTACAAATATTTACTATAATCTTTTATTAGTTAATATATTTTGTAATTTAGAAAATATTTTGTCAAAATCGAATCTATAAGGTTTATTTTATTTCATGATTTTAATTCGATAAATAAATTAGAAACATATCTAGCATTTTAAGTTACGTAATGTTCCTGCTCGTCAAGCTTAGCTGGAAAGAAACATCTCGAAACTTCATCGTTAGAGGAATAATTTTAATTCTCGAGTAAAGAAAACTAATTATCCGATGCGAATTTGATGCTCGATTAGTGTACGAACGAAGCGACTTACAAAATGATTGTCTCGTTCCATTCTGGATTTAAGTTCGACTTGATTGTCTTTGTTTTCTTCTTCACGTTGTCCGAATCCGGGATTAGCTTCAGCTTAACATAAGGATCCGATAGCCCATTCGGATCCATGGGAATGAGATTTCGTCCCTCTCGCACTGCGAACGAACAAATCGAGGTTTTTTTTCGGAAAGAATTCGCGAACAGGAAGACGCGAGATAGCTGCGGAGCATGCACTTATCCGGAAAACGAGTTTCACGTTCAGAGTACTTTAAAATTAAGTATCGATTGCTAAAAAAAATTCTCGCAAACAAACTGCAAGATACACCGAGAATTATCAAATATCAATTGTAAGTTTTGAAACATATATAATTTATTATTTTTTTCATTATTAATCGTAATATTTAGGCATTTTTAAAATTAATTCATAACATAATGTTCTTAAACTATTTAAAATTGAACGCATGCTTAAATAAGGCTCTCTTCACTTTTTATTAAGCTTCTTTTCTTGAACGAATCCCATCGATTTTTCTTATAAACTGCCCGAAAATCATTAATATAATTTCCATTTTATATATTTTACGTCAGATATGAACGACGTTTTATAATAATGTAATTAATAACCTACTGGCTGGAGGTGAAACGTGGCTAAGAAGAATGTAATTAAGAGGAGAAAAATCACGTTTTGTTTTGCACGAAGAAACCTCTAATCCATTTTACCGCTATAATTTTAATTAAACCTCGAGAACATGACGGTAATATCCTGGTAACACGATCGGGCTCGCCGCGAATGAGTTCGAAGAAACCTAATTTTCGAGATAATCGACAGGTGATAAGAGCTTCGAGGCAGCCGACGCGCGACGTACCGCTTCTTCGGCGATGCTTATCGAGTCACTTAGATGCTGCGATACGCGACAAGATGATATTGAGCGGGTGCCATGGTATTTCACAAGTTTATTGCAGGGTATTGCGTAATCCGTAAACGCTAACACCACGTTCGATGATCAAATTTTACGTTGATCCGCGAAGCTTATGATAAAAGTTAGCTTAAATAAAACTTTACTTGAATTTATATTTATTGTAATGTTTATATTTTTTCACAATTTATATTGCTAGCAAAGTAAAACAATTTTGCAAATAATTGCATCAAAAAATATTTTACATTAATTTAATAAAATTGAGTAATAAATGTTCATAAACGTTATACAATTTCACGAATAAATTACACTTGCAATTGTTATTCATACTTCATACCATACAGCTTTTATTTAATATAAAATGTATGTAATGTAAAATGTAAAGCAACTGCACGAATAATTTATCGCGGAATGTTTAATTTTTTTGTAAAATATGATGCGTACGCGCGTGTACCTACGTTGAATGTGTGTATCCATGTAAATACAGCTAAAATATGTATTTGCTCTTCTTTTGTTCCTTTTTTTTTTTAGTCATTATATTGTGACACAACTTTGAGAGACAAGATGCTACACACAAAGCTACCACTTATTTTTAACGACCGCTTGTTAATTAGTTGTCAAGTTTCTTTGTAACTTGAATACCAGTTAAAATATGCATAGAGCAAAAAATTATTAACGAAGATGTTAAGTATAACATCGTTATGATTCAGGCGCTCGCGACCTCCGAAACCAGATATTTGTGGTGCAGTTAAGTTCCGCCAGGAATATCTCGTAATAGTATCACCCTCGGTGAACCGATTTGACAAGAGCCATGGAAAATTTAATGCAAATGCACTCTAACTATGGCGAATTTAGGAGGATGACGATGGATATCGGCGCGTTAGTGCCGCGGCTGCGGGTAATTACGCTCTCAGGTTGTAACGGAGTATTCAGGGCTATTACGTCCTTACGATAATAACGCCTGCGTTCACCTGGCCCTTACAAGGCTCGATATATCGCGGGCGATCATAGATAACGACCAATAACAACTCCGACGCCGTTGTTACAACCTATATCCTTATTTAGGACGAAATGATCATCCTCGTCGACAGTGACATTGTACGGTTTCATTAAATCGGGCATTCAAAAAAGGAGGCGCTCTCTAATTAATTTTAATGAGCAAGAATATTCATAAGAAGCCCAGCTAGTAAAGAGCCACTAATAACGAAAGCTATTATTATCGCGCCGTTTAACGATCGCCTTCCCTTTTACATCATCTATCTTTATCTCGAATGATCGTTAGAAATTCGTTTCGGATTATTCGTTTGTCGCAATCGACGATTTAAGAATACCTAATTTATTTATTTATGGTAGGTCTTCATTAAAGAAGAAGACAAGGATGTGTGTGTGTGTGTGCTTTCTTGACCGCGGAATGATCTCATCTCTTATCGTAAAAACGACCTCCGCAAACACATTATGAAGATTCAATATGTGTGACGCGTCTTAGCACTCACTATATTGTGATTTAAACCGGCAATCTTTTTTTTTGCGGCGTAATTAAATACAGATGCGTTCATTAATTAAATTAAAAGTCCACCTTCCATATTCAAATGTTAAACGAATGAAACATGGTTTTTCAACATTATTTTACCTGCGTAGAAATTGCAAGAAGATTAAATATTTTTATGTAACACGTGCATGGAAAGTGGCCCATTACGCACGCTACGCGTGCGTGATAGACCACTTTCTACGCACTTGCAACATAAAATAGGGTGTGCAAGCCGTGCGTAAAGATGAAAATTCACGGGTGCGGAGTTGACGCACAAGCCGAAAGCGAGTTCAATACTCGCCTTCGGCTCGTGCGTCAACTCCGCACCCGTGAATTTTCATCTTACAGCACTTGTTACACAAATAACTATTTCCTAACGCAAGCGTGAAATGGGCCGCTTTTCGCGCTTGTTTTGAGTGAGCAAAACGATCCATTTCTCCACTAGTTGAAAAATGGAGCCATTTCTCAACTAGTGGAGAAATGAAATTGTAAAACAAGCGCGAAAAGCGGCCTGTTTCACGCTCTTGTTAGGAAAAATAGTATGAACAACTCGTGGGAAGAGTGGTCGAGCCCAAATGAGTGTGATGGTCGCACTCGCTTCGCTCGTGCGACCAGCTTCACACTCATTCAGAATCGACCACTTTTCCCACTAGTTGTACAATATACTATTTTTGAATTATTGAATATAGTACTGAATAAATTAGAAAAAATAAAATTCTGGTATACACCAGTTTTTTAATTTGACTAATCCCTCATTATAATATTGCGATTAACAAAATTGTATAATGTTCAACATAGTGTTTTGGAGTTTCCTCTTTTTTGACTTATAGAAAAATATTAAAAGAAAGTAATTACGTTTGGTATTAAATGCTTTTCTAAACCTTCTTGTGTCACAAGACGGAGGAAACATATTTTATATCACTGAAAATAATGACTCACATCACCATGAAATGCTGCCATAAATTGATGATTACAAAATTAATCTTTGTCATCAATTCTGTTCTTCGTAACATTGTATAATAATGGGTGTGACATAACTGCCTTACGATATACCTACTAATAAAATCTCGGATAGCGAAAAACGAGAGTTCGTTCATTAACGATAACTGCAGACATAAAAGTTATTACATAAAAATAATACAAATAATACAAACTATATGCATACAAATATAATTGTATGAAATATAGTATTATCGATTAACTTGTGACACTGAAACAATTCTATAATTTTGAAAAACGCAAAAGAAAAAAAAAGAGACAGGCCGGCATAAATTCTAAGACAAAAAAATTGAAAGCGATAAGAGCACAGAAGCGCAAGTATATATAAGAATTTTAAACCTACCTTCTATGGATAGCTTGCTACCGGCACATGAGATGTGCAGGTGTATACGACCACGTCTTTCGGTGTGATCGCATCCGCATAGATTCGGCACGCTCTCCTCGCACCTCTTGTGCACGTTCATGTCGCATGCTACATCATCAGATTATCATCGATTATATCATTGTCGACCATCAATAATCTCTGTGTTTCTTTCAATGTTGCCGCGGGAAGATCGATTCGTTGTGTCATTAATTTTCCAGCCGACCAACGAAATTCGCAGCTGGCGCTCGAATTATGCTCGTCCGCCACTTTTAAGTATTCTTAAATCGGCTACGTTACTTCTGATATTTCAAATTATGCTTAAAATCTTCGAGCGCAGCTGCGGTTATGCATACGTACGCGTGGGAGATTCATGGAGATTCAGGGAGATAAATGAGTTATTTACTTCGAAAGCGGTGTATCACGTTTTAAAGAGATGATTCAGATATATTGTTACAATCTTTAAAATTGAATTCTTCAGTTATATAAGCTGACGTCTAGATACATAAGACAAAAAGCTACTATAATTTTTACTACAGAAAAATGATCTTTGTGTTCATTCGTCACAATAAAAATACAACGATAAAAAAACTCAGATATTTACATGTTTCTCTTGTTTAAAATATCGATTTATAACATTGCACGGTTATATAACATTCCATTGTGACTACAGCGTTTGCGTTATAACATTATCTCAGTTAAAACCGCTTTCAAAATAATTCGCTATACTTATTAGAACATCGAGACGATTTATATTCCAAAATACGGGAAAGACGTTCGCTCTTTTTCATGTTAATGAGAATAGCATCTACAAGCATTCAGTGGGAACCAATGTGAAACGGATGAATGGAATAGCAGAGTGAATCGAATTTAAAAGGCCCAGAGGAAAAGCACGGCGACGATACAAAAGTATAACTGCTTCCCGCTGATTTGGAGAAAGCTCGTGACGCAAAAATTGAAATACAGCAAATCGGTAAACGAGCTTTTATGAAGATGCGACTCGCTCTCCAATCCCATTCATCTGATTTTATTGTAAATCGTAATTGTTCGATAATAAACGTAAAATCATTTTGGGACTGTACATTATAAAGGAAAAAAAAGTTCTTTTATGTAAAAAAAGTTCTTTTATGTAAACTATGAGTATGATCTTGTTTCTCGTTTGCGTTTACATTCCCACGCGTACATATGTAAAATACTCTACAAGATCTCTCGCTATTTGGCGCACGGAGATCTCTACTAACGTAATGAAAGGTCCTATATAAGTATGGTAAATAGTTACATGTGTGGCTGTGTACAGATACATGTCAACGAAAAGCTAACTGCGGGTAACACGAATGATAATCACGCAAGTGGTCAACACATATAGTATGCAATCAGAGTTTCGCATGTCTGCTAGGAAAGGATACACGATTACTTGAATTCACGCGCTGATAAGTTGACACTGTAAATCTACATGAACGTGGATATATATATATAAAATTTACATGCATGCACACGACAAACATGTTCATGTATATATGAGTATGTGTATGTGTGTATACATATGTATGTGAATTTGTATACAGCGTGCATCAGTGCGTAGAATACAAAAATACGTACATACGGAGAAATTTTTATTTACATGTAAAAACTACATGATATTTTTTTCTTCAACTTCTTTTAGATTATTTTTAAGTATCCATTATTTCGCGGAATAAGTTTCAAAAAGCTACAAGGGAAATATAGCAAAAATTTAAGACGCTAAAGAAAACAAATGAAACATTGAGTAACGCAAATTCTGTAATAAGTAAGCCACTAATACGCAGCTGAATAGGCAAACTTCATTGTTCACTTAAACTTAAAGACTTTACTTTCTCGAAAACTCTTAACTTAAGATTTAATTACCAAGATAGTTAGCACTCGTTAAAAAATTGAAAACTTCAATCAAAGAATGGCTTCTTTAGCAAATTTCCCTACAAAGAAATTGATTTCAAGGCCGTCGAGGAAACTGTCTTTAAAGAAACCGAAATTAAAGTTGGAGGAGATTCAAGAACAATTCGTAACCAACATTAACCCTAGAATCCAAGACTGGGGTCGATTTCGACCCCAGGCGAACTTTGAACTACGCTCCTGAGCTAGCGAGTGACATTATCGACTCAGGACCTGAACCATAATTCATTTCAACTTTCTAAAAGTAGGGTTATGTCGGGCGCAGCGTTAGTTGTTCGCTAGCAGTGAAGTAGCACAGTCGTAAAGCGGGCGTGGGGTCGATATCGACCCCAGTCGTGACTTGCCGTTTGAGTTTCGTCACGGTAAGCTAATTTTATTTTTTTGCTAGAATCAATATATATCATGTATTATTACGTAATCTGAGCATAAATAGTCATAAATATTATTTAAGACGAAATATCACACAATTTAGTCGGTAAAAATCCCGTTGCCTAAGAAGATTGACATTTCGCAGAAAATGGCTGGGCGATATAATGTTTCATTTTTTTCATATTTTTTACTATTTTGTATCAAATAAAAATGAAATAATACTTAAAATACAATTTTTTATGGTTTTTTCATCGACTTTTTCCGTATTTCAACTTTGCGAATTTCTTCATCTTTATAGTCCCAAATAAATATACTTTTTGAACAGAACATAGCGATGACAATTTTTTTCTAATAGTCTAATGTGTCCTCTTTAAAACCCCGTTTGAATTTTTAAAATCGGTTGATTACAAAAAAAGATACAAATTTTTGTTTAAAAAAAGAGGTTTTTGCTGATTTTCTGCGTTTTTCAGTCTTTAAATGGATTTTTCACTAACTAAACTTGAGTAAAATTAAATTTACCGTATACCATTCTCTTCGTTATTAAAAAACGAAGAAATTCATGTAGGTTTAAAGGCCCTTTATTTCTGTAGGACCGGTTTTACGATCAAATAAAGCGTGGGGTCGATATTGCCCCCAGTCATGGATTAGAAGGTCAAAAAAATGATACATGGATTCTAGGGTTAATTCAATTCATTGAGAATTTCGCTGTATGCACGCATATATGTCGCATGTACAATCGCTGAAATCGCAATTCTTACTACATTAATTATGTAATTACTTCATTTTAACAGTTATAATAATAATTACTCGTCCAAGAGAGTGGTGCGTTAAATGACGTAATATATACAATCTATATACATATGTAATACACTGGTGGAGATGCGTATGACGGCGCATCGGTGGGTGTACAACACCCGGCGAGATACACACGATGCGCGGGGTTAGAATGCGCCGTGTGAATAAGCGACGAGTGAATAGGCGAACAATGGAGGGTGGTATATTAAAATACATTTCTGCTCGCGCTTTTTGTCGTCGGGGATAGGCACAAGGCGGTCGCCCGTCCATACGACGCGCGACGGAAAGAACGAGAGGAGGAGACCGAGCGGCGATACGATATAGTGTGTAGTACAGGCGTGTGATAACACAATCAAAAATGCATCAAGGTCAAAGGTATACCTACATAAGACCATTATACGGCCATCGCGTTAATATTCTATTACCGTTGAACAGGTATGAATTACATTTCAAGTATATTTCAAGTAACGTACTCGTTCGAGTCTTGCGGGGGGATGATGCAGTCGATTGGATTTTCTTACGGCTGATTGATATCGTACGGAAGATGTTTCATGCGATTGAGGGTTTCCGTAAACGGGCGAGGCGACTCCTGATGAGATGTGGATGCGATTTCCCCTTATCTTTCCGTAAGAAAACGTAGAACACGCGCAAATGGCACGTATTTCGTCGCATCACTGCGACGCCCGGTATACCGTTTCCGTGCCACTCTCGCCTTGCCGCGTAATATAAAATTCACGGCGAAATACGTGAGCGTCGCCCGGTACACGTTTTCTGTGTCAGTCGGCATGTAATCGTGCATCTTGTCGTCCGGAAGCTTTTCCACAGAGCTCTCGCAAGACGAGGGGCGACGGTGAGATAGCGAGGGTACAAGTGGGTACGAGCGAACGTGAGGTGGTGGGTCTTCTCGACGGCGAGGGCGGGGAGGGGGAAAAGGAGATGCTTCTTCCGAGTGCATCGAGAGGGATGATTACGCGGTCTAAAGCTCGTATAAAACCCGTAGCGCGAATGTCGAAGCGCAAAAAGTGAACCGCACTCGAGTGAAGGACCCTGGTTTTTAAAGTGAGATCTTCTGCAGACTGCAGACGTTTAAAGATACGGTGAAATAAGCGGTATGATCGCGTGCGCGTTCCGTATTTTTCAGGATGATCTCGAATTTAAATTACCGTGTCTCCTTGCTCCGAGTGACGCGCTAAAAGCGATACGATTCCAGAAAGCTCGAATTTCAATGCCGTAAAAACTCGTAAAAATGATCTCTATGTTTATTTGTAATTAGAGTATCAGTAAAGATTGAATCTATCAAAGTCGTATCTTACGTTTCAAATTCTAACCGAAAAAAGTCGTGAACTCGTCTCGAAAAATATTAAATGTTCATTCTTTTTTGCTATACACATATTCCAGATATATTAATACTTATATGTAATTAAAATTAAAATTATTTTATTTTATACCTTTAGCAAAAATTGCAAACTATTTTAGATTAAAGTCACGGAGCTTTGAAAGGTTTCAAGAAGAGGTTAAAACAATCTAATTAATTTCTTAAATTTCTATAATGTTTCTATTTGCACGGAATAATGTAAAAAATAGATAATTGAGTAAAAAGATAATTATCATAATGCATCGCTTTTGCTGAATTTGAAAGACACAATTTCTTTTTCATGAAAGATATATAATTTGGATAAAAAAGTATATGCATGTATAAGGCAATACATTTTCTATCACATTATAAATGTCTCTGGTCTTCTTAGTCGACTCTTGAATGGTTTCGGTTAATAAAGTTAGCGATGAAAACGATTGACCATATTCGTTGGGTTTCCGCACACGTATATTCCATAATCAAATTTCTATAATCAAATTGATTGCTCCGATGAATCAAGCTCAACCGACTCTTCTGTTTGTTAAATGTATTCAGGAAATTCCTACGGTTTTATCAGAGACTGTCGTCAATCACGACGTTGTTTGCACGTATAAATATGCTTGCACCGCGACATGTGTATTCACGCGATGTATATCCAAATAAA